ACTTCATAGACATTCTTTTATGATTTATAAGGTGTATGGAATATAACTTAGAGACAAGCTACTCCCACAATTCCTCAATTAAGAATGTATATGCAAATATGCAATCTAGTAATGATGCATCCACAAGTTTTGATCTTTTCATACAAGTTTGCAAGTATTAACACTCGTCTCTGGGTGGGTATTCTTCAATCATGAAGCCCCCCTCCCGAGTCTTCCGACTTCTAAATATTTTTTTTATCCCTTGACGCCCATCAACTTCAGTAAAAATTTTAATAGTCATAAATTCAAATTCTATTAGAATCTGTCTAATACATTTAGTCAGGCTGAAGTGTTCAACAATTTTTTTTCCTAAAAAAATAATATAAAAACAATAATTCATATTTGATTTATGTTACCAAACATGCCATTTATATGGGGTTGGTGGGAAAAAAACATTTATGTATTCCTCCAATGGACATAAAATAGAACAACACAACATGTTCTGGCCACAAAAAAAGGTTATTTATACGTAACCTTTCTTTTTTTTTTTCTGTCGTTTTCTAATTGTGTCAGGCTCGAGGCGAGAATTCCGAAGCTACTTACAAGAACATTTCTTTTATCTTCTTCTAATTATATCACACAATGTAAGTCCCTGTTTAATGATCGATATTATAAAAAATTTACGTGCAAAATATTTTATTGAGTGAATTTGTGATTAAGAGCCTGTTTGGTACAGATTCTTATTTTCTACAGTAAATCAATACTCATTTTCAACCACACATTCTTCAATAAAATAATATTTTCCATCACATCAATACTTTTTTCTTCTTTTTCAACCACACATTTCCCATTATATCACAATTCAAAATCAATTCTTTCCCCAAAAATCCCTCCCAAACAAGCTTTTAATCTCGGGACAACCAGCTTTATTCTGCAAACCCCCCTCCAATAGGAGGGCACCAAATGGCGCCCTTGATTTGACCCGAGATTTAATCCTGGGACAACTAGCTTTATTTCATGTACCATTAGTCCAAGAGATGGGCTAAAGGGAACGTGACACCTGTG